ATTAATGTATGAAACTCATACTACAGCAAATGGTTACCTATTTAATTGCAGCAGATAACCATTACTAACATAGACAAGCTTCTGTTGTACAAACAGGCATCACAAATTATATAATGTAGGAAATAAATACATTTTCCTCCCACATTCTCATTCCAAATCTTTCACCTACCTTAGATCGTCGCCATCGTTTGGTAAAAGTTGATAATTTGCCTCTGGTTGGGGCAAATAGAAGTACCAGCTTGCTGGCGTGGTCATGAAAAGTCTTAGGGTGCTTAAAATGGGCTGCGGCTGGCAACATTCCTTTTTCGAAATGTTTCTTTATCGAAATTTTCTATCGTTAAATACTTTTGATTTCATGGGCAACCACGGAATACCCTCGGTAGTATCAGCGTGATGGTTATTGATGATGCACAATAACCTTAAAACAACTTTTAGGATCAATATTAAAGGATAATTTACCGACTCATATAAGGATCATTATACCGAAAGCGAAAACCGTTGTTCTTAATCCTTACATCAGGTCAGCTGGGTGCTCGATCTGTTTGCAAGTTCTGAATGCACGAAAGTGCCGGACTCTGCGTGAATAAACCTTTTAACGTTCGTATGATATTCAGGACCGTCCAATGTATGACTTTGACTTAATAAATTTCAAAAATTTAATATTGAAAGTAAAATAAACTGCGTACGTTTCAAACTCGCAATCCCGGTTACGAAAATCTTCGACAGTTTCAAGCCTAACCGTTGAAGCGGCGAAAAACTCTTCGCGTGCGTGGTCACAGTCGCCGATGTCGAAAGCAATTTGTTTGACACGTCACACGACATGCTGAATGACACTGTTGCATCTTCTACACAACTTGAATCCATCTTGCTTTATATGCCGCGAAATAACTGAAGTTTCTGCTCAGAAATTCTGCCGGTGATATCTGCGGCTGCTCTGTTCTGAAGTTAATGCTTACTTCACAAATAAGACAATCGCTAACATACATCAAATCTGTCATGAACTCTTCCAATTGAGCATATTCTGTGGCAGCCACGTAGTCGCAATGATCAGTTAAAGCTGACTGTTTATGCATGGGGATGATCGACCTGGAAAATCAGTTGAAATCAGCTCTTCAACTCGTGTTCAACAATATGACAATGATGTCGGAATTCTCGCAATGTCACAACGCCGTGTAGATGTTACGAAATGCATTTGCTACTTGATGCATATTAGTCAGTCATCACATGATCCAAACCGAATTGCATCAGTTCTGACGAGCCACTGCATGGGTCAACACCAAATGCTTTGAATTAACTTCCAATTAACTATCGAATATGCAGTTATAATTTTTGTCATTGACAAGTCGACGATTCTAGCACACTAATTGTCCGCTTCCCACTGTTCTATCGTAACAGCTGATAGAGGAATACAAGCTGCAGTGTCGGTTGTAAAGGAGGTGCGACGAATGAAGCAAAAAAACACAATAAACTGTCTTTCAACGTGCTGTTTGGTTCAACTGGGAAGTTTTAGTGGAAACGAGTTTCTTAAGTAGCTTCGATGAAAACAAATCAATGGTATGCAGTTAGATTTCAAGCTATTTCATAAATAAAATTTGTCTTATATTTGCATCATTTACTAAATTTGGAATGCTCCAATAGATCTGTCACACCAACGTAAAAACAGAAGTTTATTTGAAATATATGTACAATCCAGAACAAGAGAAACTATGAACGAATAGGTACTTAATTACATACCAGCTCTATTCTAAAAGCAAATCAAATAGAAAGAGAGAAAATAATCACAAACATTGACAATGTTATTGTATATATTTATAAGCATGTTGAAAATCGTACATGATTTCTTCATGCGAGAGGTGATAAAATCTTTGTGTCAGTCACAAACGGGAAGACAACGCATAAAATAGTCTTTAATTAGGGACATCTGACGTTTCGGACCAAACTCGGTCCGTCTTCAGAGTACAATGACAAACGGCACATAATATTTTCATTCGGGTCTGGTTGACCCGCATGATTAATGGTGCCGTTTTTGCTTTCTAGTCTTAATCGGCCGCCTGATGTTTGCGGTCCATGTGTCGCTGACGTCTGTTCCAAGGTCACGATTGATGCAGCTCGCTGTTTGGATCAATAATGCTTCCTTGACATTGTGGGGAAGATATTGTTGTCCCCGCGCGACACCGTTCATTCTGCCCCATGATATGTTCTGTTCGTGGGTAACAGCATGTTCCACAATGGCAGAATTTTTCTCGCATTCTACCTTTATAAGTCCAGGGTTTTTCGTCTGTCTCCGACCTCTACCTACTTGCTGTCGACTCCTTTCTCTAGCTTCAGCGTTATCCCACCTGATCAGATTCCTCATGTGGTCTGCCTTCCTTTCTTAAACCTTGTTACCCGTTTCGCCTATGTAAACTACACCACAGAAGCACGGCAGTTAGCACACCGAACCGGCTTTCTCCTCTTTAGGTTTCTGAGTCTTGAGGTGGCTTAGTCGGCTACGTAGAGTCCGGATGCAGATCCAATGCGTCGCAGCTTTTCACTCAGCTGGCGAACGTATGGCAAGGAAATGTAGATGTTTTCATCAGGTGAGCGGCGAGTCATCATTTGTTTTTGATAAACTCGCCAAGCCTTCGTTAAAAGTCTTCATCGAATAGCCGTTCTTTTTTAGCGTCAATATGATGTGATTTAGTTCTTGGCGAAAATCATCTGTTGCGCATATCTTCCGTCCTCTTTGGAGAAGGGTAGTGACGACACGTTTTTTTACGCAATCTGGATGATAAGAAGAGTGATGTAGATGCTTAGCAGTATGCATGTTCTTGTAGAACACCGTGGTCAAATATCCCCGCTGGGGTGTCTTACTTGCACATCCAAGAAAGGGAGGGTGCCGTTTTCTTCTTTCTCCATGGAGAAAACGATTAGGCTTGGGAATAGGCTGTTTTGATGTTGCAAAACGGCGCTTCAGTTCCATTTTTACAACGTGCAAATATGTCATCAACATACCTTATGAAAAAGGTTGGATAGGCATCTTTGTCACCCGTAGAAGGCGAAGTGTTCTAAATGTTCCATAAATATTTCAGCCAGGGCAAAGGACAGAGGCGATCCCATAGGGATTCCTTTGTACTGACGATTTAGATGGCCAGTGAACTGAAAGTAATTGAAACCAATGAGACGTATCCGGAGCAGCTCAAGAATCGAAGTTGTGGAGAAAGGCGTTTTGTTCTTAAGGTCTAGGTCTTTCGTCAATTCTTCTTCGACTAGATCAATTTGCAATTTTGACAGGGATGCTGGCAAAGAGGTCCCTTACGTCGTAGCTCACTAAAATTTCATTACTGTCGTTCGTTCCTGGGAAAATCTCTTGGACGAACTTCTATGAATTTTTGACTTATGATTTCAACCTACCCGTGTACGAATGAATGGTAGGGCGAAGTAGTCATGCAACCACAATGCCGAAATGCAAGATGATGCAACAAGAGGTCGCATAGGAATATTCAGCTTGTGGATCTTTGGTAAGCAGTACAGTTCAGGAGGAGACCAATTGCTTTTGTACCGAAGTTTCAATAATATGCCCTTTGCTTGGAGAGCACGCATTTCATTCTTCTTTTCCATTGTTGTTATCATTTTTTTCAGAGACTCTATCAACCGTTTTATTGAATCTTCATCTAGAGGCCATAGCTATTGTTAAGCAGCTCTGTGCAAATAGTTAGATATTTCTCTTTATCCATAACCATGGCTGCATTTCCCTTATCTGCTTTCATGATGCAGTGTTGTCATCCTTTTCCAGTTGTTTTAGGGCAATTTGTTCAGACTTACTTAGATTGTATCCAGTTATCTGAAATTTTTGAACTTCGACAGCAGCTAATTTGGCGAAGTCCCGGATGGCGGTCTTGTGATTTATCGGATATGCCCGTTCAATCGATGTCGCAATATCGTGAACTGGCACTTTATGTGGAGCAGAGGCAAAATTCAAACCTTTGGAGAGAACAGACTTTTGATCTTCTGTCAAGTTCTGGCTACTCAGGTTCACTATCTGGTTGTCTGAATACAATTTTCTACGTGAATTCCAAAAGTTGGAGTACTTTTCCAACATCAAGGTGCATCAAGGTGTTGAACTTCTTTCGCAAAGTTTGAGATTTCTCCCATCTTCTTAGTTCGACCGTAAGTTGGCAGTGGCGAACGATCTCCTGGAATTCCGAAACTCGTAGAGAAACCGACAACCAGTCGCTTGCAGCAATTTCTCTTTGTTTGATACTATATCCTACAATCTGAACCAGTGATAAGAGATCCGTCTTCGTACAAACTTCCTCTCAAAGTCATCTCCTAGAAGATGCTCCGATGGAGACTGGAACATGGTTCTTTTTAGTGGTAGTCCAGTTGATGTAAAACAGTTGTCACGGCAACGGAGAAGGAACGAGAGATGACAACGTTCATTTGACAAAACCGTTGAGTACTTCTCCAGTTTCCTGCACTGACACATGATAGGCTATTTATAAGCATAACATATTCAGAATAAGAACGCCAAAACTAAATGCATGCAACGCTAATATGAAACTGCATGGGAAATACTAACGACAAACAAATGAAAAAGTACAACAATAATGCAGACTGTCACACAGGCATACGGATATCATATTGTTTGTCTCTTACTAACTGTCAATTTGGGCGCGGATGATCGACTGTATACAACTCATTGCCTGTCCTGAGGATTGGCAACGTTCTTTGACTGAAACCTAGACAGTTTCAAAACAATATTAATCATCAACCTTTTCATTTGTATAAAAATGCGAATCTATCCATCAAAACTACGCCATGGCCGGTCCCAAGCCCGGATGAGAAAGGAGGAGGGTTGGAGACCGTGGCAAGTCTCCTTAAAATTCAGCCACCTGCCACTCATGGTATTGACGCCTTCGAA